AGAGAGAGAGAGAGAGAGAGAGAGAGAGAGAGAGAGAGAGAGAGAGAGAAAGAGAATGAGAATGAGTGTTCGTTCCTGTAATCCTGCCAGATTTCCTGAACAAAATGGAAAGCAGATCAAGAAGGCACGCCAATTTCAAGAGTGGTGGAAACTGCAATTTCACTTAAAGTAGTAGGTGGCAATGGGGATAGATCATGACTAAGAAAAGAGAATGAAAATGAAAAACACGTGTAACTGGGAGAAACTGGAAATTAAAGGCTTGACCAGATAAAACAATGGTGTGCTAAAAAATTTGCTGTGAAAATATAAAATTAAGTTACACTAAGAGGTACCTATTAGTTCAGAAATTAATTATTCAAAAACATCAGAGTCTTCAAGTGCCTCTCTAATGGCAGGCAGCCCCCTACAGTCCATGGAGATGGCCTGAGCCTCCCTGGGAGGCAGGAAAGGACCATTGAAAGGCTAGACACAATGGGTTTATGATTTCCCCATTATATCTCTGGAGAATCAAACTATTTTTATGTATAATATTCCAAGGTGAATAGTTATATAAATATTTTTAATAAAGAATCTTTTGGTACAACATACTCATCTGTTTTACAAAGTGTCTTCTTCTAAGAAGTGTAGGTGTTTCTCTCTTACATCACAGCATCCTAAACAATATGTAGTAACTTTAACTAATGAACACTTGGGTTAACTTTCCTAAATGCAATCTAAAAATAAATGACAATAATAAACGATTTACATGGTATGTACTGCAGTCAAATTCCAAGTCAAATAGATGTTTATTTGGAATGAGTTATTGAACATACATTTATTAAACTACATTTATTTCTTAAGTTCAACAGATAGGCATGGAAATGATGGAAAAACATGCAAAAAAAAAGATGGGAAGAAATTAATGATTTTAGATCACATGCTGGGTAATGAAATGGATCGCATTTTTATATGAATGTATGAATATGCCACAATGAAATCTACCATTCTTTTAATTAATATGAACCAATAATTTTTTTAGAAATAAATTACATCAGTAGTTTGAAAACTAGCCATTGTATTAAAACAATCTTAAAATTCAGTCCAAATGAAACTTGCAATTCGTATTAAACAAAAATTAGTATGGTCACTTCAAATAAGAAGGTGTCAAAACACACAAACATTCTTTTTGTCTACAGAATTAGACCTTCTTTGAAGTTAGATATCATTTTTATGTTATGTAAGGAGTATTTTTAAATAATATTTAATGCACAAAATTTATCTAGAGTGGACAATTTCTTAGGATCTTAGCATATATCTAAGTGATACTATAATAAGCATCAACTTAGTAGCATTCAAATTTAATAGCATAAGAATATATCAGAACATACTGTTATGTAAAAAGTAACTAGCTACAACCATGCACAAGATAGCTCCAAGGATATGAATATGTATATATACATATGTATGTAAATAATTAAATACAATTGGACCAAAAAATATTCTCCAAAAGTAATTATTATATGTTTAAATGAAATAAATACATACGCCTCCATTTATAGAATTAGACATTAAACAATATTAAAGTCAAGTCAAACATTTTTACTTCATGTTTTTCATCTGAAAATCATTTTGGCAAATTAGATATTTAAAAATTTAAAGTATAACTTAACAGCTGTTTTTTATTCATTTATTTTTTAACCAGGTTGGAAGGAAATATCATTCTTGGGCTCTAATAGCAGTATTTGGGGGAAAAAAACAATAATGGGACCTCAATTTAATGTGTATCAGTGGGATCAGTTTTAGTTTAAAAGCACAGTTCCAAATAGAATACACTTTTTAGAAACCACACTAATACTCAGGTTTTTAATGGTTGTAAGGCAGTAGGAGGGAACTTCACAATGGGGTCAATGGCAATTAAGAATTTCTGCCTTTGAGCAATACTGACTTTTAACAAAAAACAGTATGGTTTGTATTACTCACTTTGGGACCTTGTAGTCCTGGATTTCCTGGAGGACAGATACAGGGAGCTGGAGTCGAACCTACGTCACTGGGACCATTAAGGCACTGCAAAGACAAAAATGGAACTAATCAACAAATGTGGAAAGAAAGATAGACAGCTAAATATTGATATAGATAGAACTAGCTTTATCTATATATACACACATATGTATGTGTATGTATCCATATGTAAAATGGTAAAGATATAGTTACTTTCCAATTTTATTTAGCTCAATCTGCTAAGAAATTCCAAATCACACAAAAAAATATCAATAAGAAGTACATTCAAATTATATAAAATGGGTTCTATTTGTCTAATATACTTACAGCTGAAGAGAGGAAGCTAACTGGTCCCACAACACAAACATTACCTTAAGGAGAATAAAAATATCCAAGCCTACCTCTCCATTCTGAAAGAAAAACAACACATGTGTTTTAAAATAGGTTTTTAATTATATTTCTAAATTATCTTTGTCATTTACAAGTAGTTTGTTGTCCCAATACAAAGTGTCAAATCTAGAAATAAAACATTTGCTTACACTTATCCTAAAATGTACTTATCTACACAGATTTCTGCTACATCTATAAAAGATAAAAGAAAATATAGGCGAAGAGTGGAAGGCAAAAATCAAAGCACTGAAGCTTCTTGATATAATGACCATGCAAGAACAAAAATACCTTAAGGTGATATTCAGAAGCTGTACTGAACTATTTGGAAATTATTTAAAACACAGAAAAAAGAAGCCAAAGATAACTGCTTCCATTAAAATTTTATTCATTTTACTGTAGAAGAGCTTCTCAACTTATTGCTGAGTATCACACAATTTTAAATAGGTTAATATAATCTTTCCAAACAGTAACAAATTAGATCAGTACATACAATAAACTCTCAAATGCCATGACTTCAAATATTTTAGGAGAGATTTATATTCCAATTTATAAGTATCTAAAAATAAAACCATAGTATTTAAATGATTAACAATCTAGAAAACCTAAGAATGAGTCATTTCTCAAAAGTTCCATATTTGATTTTATTACAGATTCTTTAAATGTGCTGCTCGATGTTCTCAACTCTTCTTTACATGTGGTCTCATTACATGGTTTGTTAGAGAAATAAATGATGATAGCACAACTATGCAAATTAAAAGAATCATGGACAGTCCAAACCTCACTGAGAATCCACATTGTCAAAAAGTTGTCCAGCATTGTATGTTTTTCCATTAAAATAATTCACAATTTTTTGCTTAGGGCAAAAAGGGATGGATTACACACACACACACACACACACACACACACACACACACACACATAGTCATACACTATAAAATTTTAGCTTATAATCATTTTCCTTTCTATCCCATTAATAAAAATGACTAAATAAATAGGAAATTCCCTTAAATTCTAGAACCATAAGAAAACCTTACTGAGGTAGCAACAACAAAAATAAAATCATTCATTTTAAGTTCAGAAAATGTGCTAGTGAACAGTGAACAGGAAATTTATTTCCTACTCATCAGAAATATATAGTTTGGAATGTTTTGTCTTATGTTTAATTAAGTAGAAAAATGTTCTTTACATACTGATATTTATACGAAGCAATCTAAGTCTTTGGAGCAGGTGTATTCCTGCTTCATCTGAGCACTGGAGTAATCACAGCAAAAAGTGATGTGGGGAGAAATCACTTACTGGTGCTTTCATTCATACTTGCACAGTGACATAATTTATTTCAGTTATGAACTTCAAACTATGTATCGCTCTATTTAACTTTGATAATAAAGATTAACTCTACATATTAAATAAGTCTTGGGCATTATCTACTTTTCATTTATTGTTTTGAAAGTACTAAAGCAACACTTGGGAGAAAAAAAATAACCCATCTCACTTACAAATCCAGGAATCTCACATGCTGTCTCGCGGTTGTTCTGCTCTGGGTCACAGTAGATTCGCAACTTTTGGACATCAAACTAGGAATATAAATACAGTATAGTTAAAGTTGAGGCATGAGCTAACTGTTTTATAAAAGCAACTCAAATATGTAGAAACTGCTGCTATGGTTGGTCATTTGATAAGGTTTAGATCCCAGCATTTATCTAAAACAATAAAAACACAGAGGTTGAATACCCAACATATATTATAAAGATGTGATGCACCCTAAGCACCAAGAACAAATCTGATTTTCTTCAGGAACCCAGTGAAGCTTTTTTAATATCCCTGTATTGAGAGCTAGTCTAGAAAGCATTTCCTAAGGTACATAAAACCTTTCCCAGGTTTTTTTGTATTTACCCTAAATCTCTACAACATTCCAGATCATATGGGGGTAACCTCCAGAGGCCATTCTGGGTTTAGAGACTTAGTTGCTGGGATGGAATGCACCAGTTACTGTGTAAATATTTACTACAATTTGACTTAAAGCATTAATACATAGTGACCGTGTGAGTAACCACACATTTGAAAATGACAGAGTCTTCCTGTAACAGAAACAAAGCGGGAGGGAAATACTCTTACCAATTAAAGATTTTCCCAGAAATGTTTTTTAACTACAAACTATTAACCCAAACACAGACTCTAAATAGCTGTCATAAAAGTAAAAATAAAACTTTTAAAAGTATGAACTGCACAAAACACAATCACTTTATTTTTAAGCAATAGTTTTGTTTGTGAAGGACTTTGACATGCATTAATCTAATTTTATCTTCACAGCTGCAAAGAAATTTTTATAGTTCTCACTTACAGCTCTAAACATATTCCCCATTCCAAATCCATTATTTGAACTGATTCTCCTGGGAAATATGAAATTAATGTTTCCTAGAATTCTACCCTCTGCCCAGGGGATTATTTTTCTAAGATTTTTTTTATAAAATAGATAAAGTCAAATTTTGCATTCGAATACACACATAAGATTACAAAATTTCACCCATGAACTGACCATATTTCAATTAAAATTTAAAGAGAATTCACGATTAAGCCTAATAAGGTTGATTTAGTAAATACTACGAGAGAGAGGACAGCAGAAATTTGATTTTATCCAATGTAAAAAATAAATCATTATTCTACTACCTGAACAGTTTCTTCTTTCCCAGAGTATTTTCCAATTTGGGTTTGCCCACTGATGAAGATCCCTAAAGCTGGATGTAAGGGCTTATTGTCAATTTGTTGATCATCAATAAACAGAGTTACATCTTGCTCTGTTACTAAGAGACGAATTTGATGCCAGCCTTCATCAAATAATGTCTATGAGAAGAAAATATGAAAGATTCACAAATAAAACCCTTAACTATCTTTCACTGTCTTCCTACTTAGAACCATTGTTAAGAAAATCTGAATTATGCTGATTTTCTGTGTTATATACTAATTCACCCTGCTCTAAGCTGGACCCCATATGCTATCCACCAACTCTTCTGTTAATCCCTACCTGAGTTCCTCTTACATATACCAATGTAGTTTTGCCAAACAATTTACTAAAACAACTCCCTCCTAGTCACTAATGAGATCTTGATCTCTGAATCCAAATTGCTCCTCTCATTCCTCATCCCACAGTCCAGTTCTCTCGATATTCTCACACAATTTCCATAACTGAAAGAATCTTGGCCATCTTCATTTCATTCTCTTCTGTTGTTCATTCTTTATCACTTTGAGGGTTCTTCTTCCTCAACCTGCCCTATAAAGAGAGCATCCCTCACAGATCTGTCCTTGACATCTTTCATTCTGCCCTCTGACTACCTCATCCATACCTACAAGCCAAACATTATTTCTATGTAGTAACTCCAATATCTACATCAATAGCGTGGACCTCTCTCCTACACATAGGTCCCAAAATTCTAATACTCAGTAGAATAATCTTGCAAGGGTATCTCACAACCAGTTTAATGGAGTGTGTTACAAAATGAACTGTCCCCCAAACTTCCTTCCACTCCCAAATATTTCCCTTGCATGATAATACTCCCCTTTTCTAAAACATAAGTTTCTTTCTCTGAATTGTAAAAACTCACCAGATACAATTATATCAACTATTTCTCTTAAAAGTTACTCAAATTCACCTCTCTATTTTCATTCTTACTGCCATAATTCAGGCTTGTGGTTATCTTGCTTTGTTTTCTAACATATTTCTGACTTTTCCCTCTCCAAGCCACCCTGCATATCTTCACTATAATTAATTTCTCTCAGTAAAGTTTTGTTAGAGGAGAAGCTCCATATTATCCATTTCTTTATTCCAAGTATCTGACATAATTGCAGGATAAAGCTGAAACCACTGTTTGGGGAACAAATAAGAAGGATTGCTTTGATCATGATACACCTATGATCAAGATCTTTGCATGAAACCCCGTTGTTCACTGAATAAAATCCAAACCAAATTGTATGGCTTTCCAGGATCCTCACAAATTGGGCTCATACCTTGCTAGCCTTTTCATTCATGCATTTTATACTCAAAACATGCCATTCTCTAAATAAAAACTGCATTTGGCTAGTCAATGCCAAACCATTGTCTCAATGTTCTCTTACATCTCTCCCCATCGAAAATCCTATATATTTTCCAAGATCCAATCCCCAAACCATGTCATTTACCATGATTTTCCCATATTTTGTGCTTTATACTTCAATTTAATACAAGTTATTTGAATATTCCATTATAAAAAACCTCCTTAAATTCCTCCACAGGAATTTGTGTTGGATAGACAGATTATTAGGTGTTTGGTTTTTTTTATAAAGAATCTATCACCTTGGTTTTAATAAGGATAGCAGACCACAATTTTAAATTTAATATAGTAATTGAATGAAAAAAATTGTCCAAATGTAAAATATTCATATGTAACCAAGTACATTTCCTAAATTGTATAATATACCTTTAGGCTATCATAATTATAATAATGAGCAAAACTTAATTGTTTTTATCATTGCATCTGTATTATGAACACATGACTTAGAAAATAAACATTTTTCATTTATTAAATATATATTCCTTTGGGTGAAATAAAATGTACTCCTGATTTAAATAAATTCTATACTCATCAACTCATAGGACATGTCAATATAAAACAGTCCAACATGGACTTTGAAATTGACCATATTTAAATTCAATTCTTGATTAGTTGTTTTAGTCATCATTTTCATCACTGTGACCAAAGACCTGACAAGAACAATGTAAAGGAGGGAAAGTTTATTTTGGGGCTCATGATTTCATAGGTTTCAGTCCACAGATGGCTGACCCCATATCTCTGGTCCCAAGGTGAGGCAGAACATCATGGCAGAAGGGTACAGCCAAGGGAAACAGCTCAGAACAAGGCAATCAGGAAGCAGAGAGAGAGCTTCACGTACCATGAAGAAAAAATAAACCTTAAAGGCATGCCCCCAGTGACCTACTTCTTCCAGTACACCTTAACTGCCTACAGTTTCTACTCAGCTAATCAATGTCAGTGGACTAATCCACTGATTGGGTTAAAACTCTCATAATCTGATCATTTTCATCTCTGAACCTTATTGCATTGTCTCACAGGAGTGCATATCTAAACCACAAAGTAGCTGTTTTTCTTTGAGGGCACACTTAACCTTGAACATTGCTTTTTGTTGTTGTTGTTGTTGTTTTTGGTTTTTGTTTTGTATTTGTGTTTGTTTTTGTCTACAAAATGGCAGTGATAGCTTCTTCACTGGATGGTTATTATCTTTAAATGTTCTTGACACCCAGTAATAGGAATATGAAATATGCTAATTTTCCCCCACTCTTTGTCCTCATACTGATTTAGAAACAAATTTCCTTCCTCTTTGGTGGTGTTTCATAAATAACAAAATTTTAAAATATGAAGTCAACATCTTTTACCCATGTTAAAACTACAATCCTCACCCAACACACACAATCCTAATGATGTTTCCTCATGATTATGAACACCATAATCACACCTGGGCTCTTTACCTTAACTTGAGGGTCAGTGAAGGTGGCCACTTGTGAGCCATTAATTACACTGGTTGTTGTAAATGATAATGTTTTGTCCACACCATTTAAGGTAACTGCTATTTGTGGTTTTCCATCAATGGTTAATATTCTCCATAAATCCCACACTTTCTTGACTTTAAATCTCTGAGTAGAAACAAATACATAGGATGGAGGAAGACCTTCTGGGAAAACATTGCTAGAAAGAAAAGAACATGCATCAGTTTAAAGAATTCTCAGCACCTCTGCAAATATATATATACACACACACAGTGTGTATGTATATGTGTGTGTGTGTGTGTATAGCGTGTGTGTATACAATTTTTAAGTTGTATTAACATATAATGTTTACCTTGTAAATTCTGATAGATCAACTTTTGATGTTATTTCATATCCTTTTATCTTTGTTGGTGAGAGCTGAATTCTTTTCTTAACCTTTTTCTTTACACCTAAACCTAAAAGAATATCAAAACCCTTCTCATCGCGAGCTGCCACAGGAATTCGTGTTGGACAGACAGATTCTATAAAAGCAAAAGCAGTAAAAACTGGTTACTCATGAACTTTTCCCACAAGAAAAGAAATATCAAGGGAAAAACACTACAGAATATAAGAATTACAAAATCTACCTGAGTATACAAACATGAGAAAATATGAAATTGTTTAGACATTCAAGAATGATATTTCACTTGTCTTTTTTTCCCCAGAAGGTGGATAAAATTAAGACGAAAATGCAACAGGGACATTTAATGGAGTGTTTCATGGACAACACTATGCTTAAGTTTGCAATATGGAGCAAAAGGTGATTACCTTGAGATAATCACCTTCTTCTGTAGCATTAAAGATGGGAAAGGCATTATAATACAATAAAAACTAGTGAAGTGGATTTTACGAGCCTATATGGGATAATGATAACCTGTAACATAGGACATCTTAGATAAACCAAGTTAGTTTAAAGCAAGAAACAAGGTAGGGGTGGGGAACACAAGTCTAAATTCACAAATGAATTCTGAATAGACTAAAGTTATAATTTCATCTTACTCTAACTAGTTCAGAGACCATTAAGAATCAGAATGCTTAGGTGATGAGCAGATTTCCTTATTTATTTTACACTCTGGCTTTTCTGTTAAATCTCAGAGCTTAGTGATATCTAAGTACTCTGGTCTTGCTGGAGTCATAAGAAATGTGTTTTATTTAAAATCCTGCCATGCACAGAAACCAAAGACTGTATATCTGGAGTCCAGACAGAACAATCAAAAATAATACTAGCAAGAGCAAAATAAATTATCCCAAAAGCAATCCACTTACTAAATATTAGATAAATATCAAAGAAGGCAGACCAAGATTCATACAATTTATTTTCTCATTCCAGATTGAATGACCTCATCCTCTTTTACTAGCAAATAACCCTAGTGCCTTGAAATCTATGATGCCTTGGACTGAACTGTCCCTCATCTGAGGAAGTGTCTTCCAAATGCACAAGCAGCAACAATACAATATAGTAAGCATAGATTTTTATAACATTCCATTCAGTGTTAAGTCAGTGGATACAATAGGCTCCAAATAGCCTGTAGTACAACTTGTGCACAAACCAGAAAATAAAAATCTTTTGTACATCACCTCACTAACAATAGATTATGTTATTTTATTGACAAAAAGATAAAATGTAAGAAATGGAAATTCATCCTTGGCTTAGAAAATAGTTAAGTAGAATATAATTTTAAAAGCTAACACAATAGTAAAATAACTTGTTTGAGTTTGTCAATTTGGATATCAACCTTTTTCATTTTAAAATGATTTTACAATGACAGCTTTTGAGGTTACCCTTTCTTCTGTTTGACTGTCATGGGGAAAAGATAATGTGCTTTGTCTTTTCTTTACACATATCCAGACAGCAGTATTATCAAATTCCCTTACCTCATTCTTTACTCCTTTTCTCTTTCATTTTTAATTTGAATTGGCAGAACTTTTGTTGGACATTCAGTATATATAATTTGAACACAAAAACTATTGTTTAGGCTTTAAAGAAATAGGGGTTGTGGGTTTTTTGTTTTAACTAGACATCCAAGCACCTCTATTCACATGTCCCTGTGCTTCTGCTGACGTGGTCACTTCACCCAAGCTCCCACTGCAACAAAGTGATGTTGGCAAAATAAGGAATCAAACTCAGACCTGGGCTGACTCCAGAGATGGCTGGGATACTGTGCAGCCACAGGCCTCAGATTCATGGGGGGAGGGGGGGGAAACAAACCAGGATATCTGACTTGCTTTACTCAGCACAATGTCTAAAACCATCCATGATGCAATACTTCTCAGTAGTTTATTCTTTTTTTTGTTGCTATGTAGTATGAAATGTCCTAAGATGCATGCATCCACTTTCCTGTGGGAAGTCTTTGAGTTGTTTTCAGTGTTTGACTATTACAAATCTAAAACTGATCACACATTCCGGAACACATCTTTTGGTGAACATATGAGCTTAATTTTCCACAGAAAAGTACTTAGGAGTCAAGTTGCTGCTTCATAGGGTATGTGTGTGCTTCGCCCTAGTAAACAGTGCCAAATACTTTCCTAAAGTGGTTGTACAACTATTCTATCTCACAAGTAATTCCACTCACACTTAAGAGAGATAAAAGTATGTGCAGTTAGGTTATAGTTATTACACATAATATTTCAGAGAAAGAAAAGAGTTTAGACTATGCTATTCATATGTCCTTCTATGTTCATAATAAAAAGTTTTCTTTTAGCATTAATTAACTAGGTATTACTATAGATGCATCTTGATCCAATTATAAACACTAACAGCAAGGTTTGTATGTTCTAATTTGTATATTTTCATTTCACTTTTCCTATGAATATCCAAACATCAATTTTCATGCATAATAAAAAATGTTATTTCCTTATTTAAAACTATTGCTCCATCATATTTCATATCAGGGAAAATTTATGTTTTGGGATTTACACATCCCTGAAAATTTAAGTTACTCTAAATTCAGATTAGAATTTGACTCTTTTAATATAGAAATAGAATACAAAGTTTTCTATAGATTCTCTAAATAATTAATGAGCTTTTATGAAATACTTTATCCAATTCTAGCCTATCTACCAAGTTTCACCCTTGCTCTCAGCTCAGTGGGTGGAAATTGATGAATACTAGTGCTGGAGGGGCAGAAAAGAAAGGAATCGGGCTCAAGTGGGATTAGAAAAATTCATCATGAAATCATGGGAGCTAAAATACTTGCCACCTCCACAAAAATTCCAATCATCCTGGCCATAGTCCCTGCTAAGTATACCCATACCCCTTAGGACTTTTATTGAACTACAAATTGAACTAAGTAGGGTAGGGTAATATACCAATGCACATTTAGTAAGTATTATAAAGCTTGAATTAAATGATAAAATTATTGAGCAATCTCCAATAAAATAACAACAAGAAGCACAAGTAATTTTTGATTAAAGGAAAAGAAATTAAAAGTACAAGTAAATCACCTCAAGGTAAAAAAACATGGAAGAGATGAAAAACCCCAAAGTTTACTGGGGATGAAGGAGAACAAAGGTTCACTCAAGCAGGCAGTGTTTATCTCTGTCCTTCCTGTGCTCCCTCTCCAACTCCTCCTCTTTCTCTCTCAATCCTTCTCATTTGCAATGAGAGAATGGCAGTTTTATCCTTGTGAAAAGTGGACATTTTACCATAAAACACTGGGCTTAAAAACTGAAAAGCTCTAACCAATTAGCAACATACTATAAACAAGCAATAAAGGGAGTAATTTGCATAGAGTTCTGATAACAAATAACAGAGAAATGCCCATCTAGTCCAGTCTTCTTGCTTCACAGAATGAAAAAAAAAAAAAAAATGAGGCTTACTCAAAGTTAAAAGTTGTATGGCTAATTGGAGTAAGAACTACACCTGTCTTCTGTTTTCTGGCCCTAATACACAAGGGAATATCATATACCTCTTTGAAAAAAATACATAAATTTCCTGTATCATCCAAACGTGGGGCAGCAGAAAGCAAAACAGTGAGCACACAGAAGCAGTTTCCTGTAGCCTGCATTTTCACCACTTATATCTGCACATGGCCGAGTTCAACACATGCAATCAACATATGGGCCCTGAAACTCAATAATTCCAACCACTGATAGTCAGAAACCCTTGAAGATACAGAAGGAAGGGAACTTTCAGGGAATAAGGGAATAAGAGAAAATTACAGTTTTTTTCTCCTTCCTCAGTCTGTTCTATCAAACCCATGCCTGGTTATCTTGAAGAAGAAACAGAAAAGTTACATAAGCAAGATGGTATAGTATCAAGTTCCACCTCATATTACTCAAAATAAGCACCAATTTAACAATGATTTACAGATCAAAATACCTTTATAGGACTTGCAGAATCCAGTTAGGATGTTGCAGAAACCTGGGTGAGCACAAAGCCAGGAACAGCCAGCTGAGATGAGATAGGTAAGGAGAAATTTCACTTTGTTCATGTCAGACCATCCTCTAAGTGGATATGAAATAGATCCAGGAATGCACATCTTCTTCCTTGAAGAAGAGTGAAGTGTGCCTCTGATGCTTTTACTTTTCAGAGGACTCCCTGAGGAACTGGTTTTTGATCTTGTCTTATTTGGAGTGCTGACAGACCTAGAATAGTTTAGGTGCCTGAGGGACACTAAGAACAAAGAAAATAGGGTGCATCTTGCTGTGGATAGCACAATTCAGTGTAATTAGAAAAAGGTTCACAGTATGAGGCATCACTCAAAAAAGAAAGGAAAAGGGGTAGAGCATGCAGCTGGTGTTCTGACTTTTTTGAAGGGCTACCTGAAGGACTAATATCTATCTTGCCTAAGGGCACTGATGGGAGCAAACAAAATTTGGATGATTAGTGAAGGCTGAGAACAAGGATGAATTGAATAGCTGTGACTACAGAACCAGAGAACAAGCAGGGCCATAGATGTACACTAAAGGGAAGGAGTTTTTGAAAACAGTAGATCTCTCTAATTGAGAAGTTGTGTGTACAAGCCTGGTGCAATGGGATATGCCCATAACACCAGCTACTAAGAGGATGAGATGGGAGTATCATTTGAGTTCAGGAATTTGAGACTAGCCTGGGCAACGTGATGAGATCCAGTCTCAAAAAAACATACAGAAACAGAGAGACAGAAAGTTAGAAAGGGAAAACAGAAATAGACTTACAGAAGTTGCATTCCATTTAAAAAATAAAAGGTTTCGAGGTCCTTCAGAATGTCTAGCTAGCTGTTTCATAAGGATCCTCTCCTGTACAAAGCCAATCTATAAAGACTGGTTATGTTTCTAGCAAATGTTTGGATCCTAAAACAAAGCTAAAATACACACACACACACACACACACACACACAGAGAGAGAGAGAGAGAAACATGGCACAAAGGAAAAGGGTAAATCTCCATATACTAATCCTAAAAACATGAAAGTATGTAAATAACTTGAAAAGAACTCAAAATGACCATCATAAGGATGTTATATGATTTGAAAAAAACAACACATAAACAAAATGAGAAT